CCACGTGGCGCTGTTGTTGCCGGCCGCAGCTAAACTATAACAGTCAATAATTCGATATATAAAGTTTCATCATCCCTCCCTGTTTTTTAAAGAAAAAAAGTAAATGTGTTTGTTTTCTTTGTTTTAGGAAACCTCTGCCACAGACTTTGAAAGCAGGAGAACTAGAAAATATCATCAGCCGTTGTCAGGTCTGCATGAAGAGACCAGTCTAAACAGTGGCCACTCTTCATGGAACATGAAACTCTGCTTTTATTACAAACAATTGCCTAACTCTGAAGAGCTATAATTTATTAAAGTCCAACAGCATCTGGAAAGAAAATTATAAATTGCCAGTGCAGCACTGTGGTGAGGCAGGGCAACAGTTTGACTTTCCTCTTTGACAAATCACGAAGCACTTTGTCGGAGAAAGCTTGTAATGGCAGTCTGCAGGGGCTCCTCCTGAACTGTGTCGTTTCTAAGCTGCATCTTCATGATGAAACTATGGCATTGCCAGATCTTTAATGAAAGATGTTAGTGCTGCCGTGTATCGTGTGCTTTTCAAACTGCAAGACAAACTAAATGCTCTACTATCAGCTTACATATATTCAGTGTTCAGAATGGATATAATTTAAGATTAAAAAATCTGGCACTTACGAGAGATAACGTTCAATAGGAAATATTTTCAGTGCACTTTTAAATATATATTGATTCATTTAGGGTTGCTTTGTTTTGGTTTTCCTGTCTAATAAACAAGTATCTCCCCACTTACCTCACTTTCCTCTGGCTGGCAAACAGGAATACAACCTTTTCTGTATCACTGTAATAATAGTGGTAGGTTTTGACTAGCCAGAAAGGGACCTACACCATGCACTGGGCAGGGACAGCACAGTGGTGACATGCACTAGCTGTGCTCTCCAGAGTGACTACGGCAAAGGGCTGACTATAATTGAAAATGTTGGAAAGTTTCCATTAGATTCGATGGCTTTTGACACAGATCATGAGATCTTTTAAATAGTTGACAGTATTGGGCCTTTACTATGATCACATACTTTTGTCTCTGCTGAAGAACAACTATTTAGCATATCACAATTTGGGATTTTGATGGAATTAACAATTACTGTATGGCTCAATGGCTCCCATGGCATTATCAGGTTATCACACACCAGTCGGGATGGGACGTCTTTCTATTTCATTTTTAATAGATAACAAAAAACATAATAGTCACATTTTATAATATTCCATATTTAAATATTTATCACAAATTGTATTCTGTATTTAAATATTTATCACACATTTCTGCAAATGAAACCATTTATTCCATCCAGTTAAATATATGCATCCAAAATTTAACAAAAAGACTAATATTTCAATTGTACCATCTGAGCACTGACTTACACAAGAGAATCCTCCTGTAAATGAACATAAATACTTGAAAAGCACTTTCATTTATTCATGTAACTTATATAAAGTTGTAGCTCTGGGGTTTTTTTTTAATAACATTGCACTTGCAAGGCTACTTAAAATTGTAATGTTAACATTTAAAATTTTAATATTTTTTTAATACTTGCACAATCTATCAAAATTCCAGTATTTAGTGTTAAAGAAGAAGCGTAATTCATCCGAATAATGCTGTAATGCAGCATTTTAAATGTAGGGTCTAGCAATTCATTGAAATAACCAAGATTTCTCATTTAGATCATTTTTAAGCCAGTGAAATGTTATATTGTTTTTGTTAAAATACTTGCATTGTGTTTGTCTGACTGTTTGAATTTTCAGTGTTAACCGAACTAAGAAAAAGTTTCATCTGTGTTTCATGCCAGTATCTTCTGATGGAGCTAACGTGAAGATACCATTTCATGAACTGAATGCATATTTTAAAATTATTGGTTGCTTGAACAGTCATATTAAGTCTGTTTGCAAGGTGTAATTGTGAATTTGCAGATTTTTATGAAGAATCTCTATGCAGATGCACTACCAGTATGAAGGTGTTAATATTTAGTCTTCCATTTGAACCACGTTTGGGGGTGGGGGTGTGTTCCTTAAAACAAACACATACTAGTTTTTTCCTTAGAATCTGAAGTTTGCTTTAAATACTCAAAGATAAAATCCACACCCATTGCCTGTTAGGTTGTTGGGTTTTTGTTTGGGGTTTTTTTTTCCATTAAGGTTCATTACAGTCACCCGAAGGCATTTTATACTGTATGCAAGTGATGACTGTGGAGACTTTCCTGTAAAACTTGCTAGTAAAATGCAGAATGCAAGTACCTGAGGTTGCAGTCTGCTGGAAATGGTCAGTAGAGGACAGTGTGTAAGGAGAAGGGAATGGACTGTGGTTTAAATGTCCAAAGGTAAGTTACAAAGAGTTATGTCTCAAAGTATAGCACGTAACTGGACGTTATGCCTTGTGCCCAGCTTTGGATTCCGCTGCTTGCTTATTGTGTGGCCTGCAACAAGTTACTAAAGAAAGATTTTCATAAATAGCTTTAGATTTTGAGTGCTCAAACTCAGTCTTTCTTTCAAAAGCATGAAACACAACTGCAGGGACACCTCTGTTCATCAAGCCCAGCATAATACAAGCTGGACATGGAACATCGAAGATTTTTTCGGGGGGGGGGGTGGGAAGTTGATCTTAACTTCTCTCTGCAGATGCAGATCATTTTACTTCCCTACGGCTAATGATTGTTGTGAGGATTAATTAACTCATGTCTGTAAATTCTTTGAGAGCCTTAACTGGAAAATGCTGAAGAGGTGCAAGGTGTTAACAGATTGTACTGAAAGAACGGAAGCGTGAGAAATCAGAAATAATGATCAAACAATAAAAAGGGGGGGGAGTGGAGAAAAGAAGAAAGCAAACCTTCTGCTAAATAGAGCCAAATAAAAATATTTTGACTAAATAAAAAATAAAAGACCCGTTTCTCTTGGTTTTTTTTGTTCTTCCCAGTGCTAATGGTCTTTTACACCAAATTCTTATTTACTTTAAAAAAAAAGAATAAAAAAAGTTTTTAAAATAGTGTCATCTGGTTAAAAGACAGTAGGTGGAGCCTGCCCTCGGAAAGACACTTGTTCTGTTACTTGCACTACTGTAGCCTCGTAGAGGCCACTGACTGTTATCCACTGCTGTTGTTTCACGTGGGCACCAGTGATACGGCCGGGAGCAGCCTGAGGACAACCAAGAAGGATTACACAGCCTTGGGAGCTGCGGTGACTGTAGTTTTTTCCTCAGTCCCCTGGTCAAACAGAAGGGTAACCTGGTTACAGGACTGGTGCCACAGCCAGGGGTCTGGTTACTTAAGCCATGGGACTCACTTTGAGAAACCCGGGGGCTGATGGGGTCCATCTGTCAGAGAAGGGGAAGAGCATCTTCGGTCAGGGGCTTGCCAGGCTGAGGAAGAGGGCTTTAAACTAAGGATGCCAGGGGAGGGGAATCTCAATCCATCCCACTGCTACCAGTTTGAGAGCCTGGAGAAGGATCACAGGTCAGCAGGAGAGCACCTGAAGGGCAGCAC